ACGTCTGACTTATTCCGAATGTGAAAACCGGCTCCACAAATAGCCGACCGGTATGAAGTCGAAGCGGAGAAAGAAAGAGAAAAAGAGAAGTAGAACGAGAAAGAGTAATAGAAGATATCTAGGTCCGGTTTCGGAAGGTTCAAGATCCTCGCGCGCACCTTTAAAAATTTATAGATCGTCACGAGAACAATTTCCATCGACGAAACATTTCATCGGTTTACGGTTCAATTTTCGGTCGTAATATTCGAGGAAAAATTTAATGAAAAATCGAGCTTAATTAGAGACAAAACATGATCATCGCGTGATATATCCGCGCGAGTACTCGTGTAATTATGATCGAGCAACAGATCGCGATAAGTTCCATTACAATGTGTCGATTAATGCAGCTAAGAATTCACGCTTGTCCGAGTTTTCCTTAACGGCATGTGAATGATAATGCAGTCAGCTGCGGTTAACGTGCGCAATACAGTTAACGTAATTAGAAGATACTATCGAGAGACATGACCGCGTCTCACGCCTGGTTCGTGCGAGAGAGCACACCATTATATTTCCGAGTATGTATCATAACTTTATCTCTGAATAATATTACTGCGAAACGGTAATCCGCGATGACTATACACATGCAAGACATATTTCAAGGTCGTAGACTTCATAACTTTAGTTAAATGAATAAATGTATATATATTTGAAGCAAAAATTTCTCTCTCTTTATCTTCCTCTTCTTACACATGTATAGATCCGCGGATAAAATTATTCAAAGATATCGCATCGCTCACGTAATCCTAAATCCTATGTGCTGTCGGCTTCAAAATAATTGTACGTGACTACTGCCTTCCGATCGGATAAAATCTTTTGGCCTCAACAAATCATTATATACCTCTCTCTCACTTCCTCTCTAATTCATCAAGAATTATACATTGTCAGTTTATAAATAATATTTATGACGTGGCGACAGTTGGATAAAATCTTTTGGGCTCATGTATCATTCGCAGATGATGAAGCTTAACGTTCTCTCTACGAGAACAAAACGTTATCTCTCAAGCTACACCCTTCGTCTACCCTATAGGTAGATCTCTAACTTCAAGGTCCGCAAATGGATTCGGTACACACCTACCTACCTTCCGAACCGCCTACACTTTTGCGACCGCCACCGTAAAATCTCTATTTAATGTTGTCACTGCTAAATCTTCGGGTCGAGATTCTCCGAGGAAAGTTCCAGAGATCTCTTGTGAAGGAAAATTGTTTGGTCCCAACAAATCATTACCTCCATCTCACCTCTTCTCTAATTCATCAAGAATTATACATTGTCAGTTTATAAATAATATTTATGACGTGGCGACAGTTGAATAAAATCTTTTGGGCTCATGTATCATTCGCAGATGATGAAGCTTAACGTTCTCTCTACGAGAACAAAACGTTATCTCTCAAGCTACACCCTTCGTCTACCCTATAGGTAGATCTCTAACTTCAAGGTCCGCGAATGGATTCGGTACACACCTACCTACCTTCCGAACCGCCTACACTTTTGCGAACGCCACCGTAAAATCTCTATCTAATGTTGTCACTGCTAAATCTTCGGGTCGAGATTCTCCGAGGAAAGTTCCAGAGATCTCTTGTGAAGGAAAATTGTTTAGTCCCAACAAATCATTACCTCCATCTCACCTCCTCTCTAATTCATCAAAAATTATACATTGCTAGTTTATAAATAATATTTATGACGTAGCGACAGTTGGATAAAATCTTTTGGGCTTATGTATCATTCGCAGATGATGAAGCTTAACGTTCTCTCTACGAGAACAAAACGTTATCTCTCAAGCTACACCCTTCGTCTACCCTATAGGTAGATCTCTAACTTCAAGGTCCGCGAATGGATTCGGTACACACCTACCTACCTTCCGAACCGCCTACACTTTTGCGACCGCCACCGAAAAATCTCTATCTAATGTTGTCACTGCTAAATCTTCGGGTCGAGATTCTCCGAGGAAAGTTCCAGAGATCTCTTGTGAAGGAAAATTGTTTGGTCCCAACAAATCATTACCTCCCTCTCACCTCCTCTCTAATTCATCAAGAATTATACATTGCCAGTTTATAAATAATATTTATGACGTGGCGACAGTTGGATAAAATCTTTTGGGCTCATGTATCATTCGCAGATGATGAAGCTTAACGTTCTCTCTACGAGAACAAAACGTTATCTCTCAAGCTACACCCTTCGTCTACCCTATAGGTAGATCTCTAACTTCAAGGTCCGCGAATGGATTCGGTACACACCTACCTACCTTCCGAACCGCCTACACTTTTGCGACCGCCACCGTAAAATCTCCACCGAATGGTGTCACTGCTAGACTTTCAGGTCGAGGCTCTCCGAGGAAAGTTCCAGAGATTCTCGTGTAAAGGAAAGAGAAAGAGAGAGAGGGAAAAAGAGAATTCGCCCACGCCAGGGCGCCATAAAAGTTGAGTTGAAACCTGCCCCCTTCTCAACCACCTCCATTATCGCGCCACCACTGGTTTCACCACCGGTGCATTCTCTCCCTCTCTGTCCCTTTACCCCTTTAAGCGACCTGTGTGTGCCGCTCGCTTCTTCTACTTCTTCTTCTTCATCATCATCATCATCTTCGTCTTCATCTCTTCTCTTGCCCCCCCCCCCTTTTCCTCCTTCTCTTCATCTCGCCATCCATCCGCGATCTTTTGCCTTCTCATTCCTCTTCTCTCTGACTTCTCGTCTCGCCTCCGCTCGGGGGGGAATAAGGGAGAGGAGAAGTGAGGCTACGCGGGGTCCCACCACACAGACCCGTCGCGACAAGCCACGTCGAGAAGGCCCCAAGAATGCACGGACACCGCGGCGTGGAAGGCGGTTGGCTACGGGCCCCACGAAGGGGAAACCTCTCGAGAGAGCCGGGTTTCCTCGACGGAGAGCGGCGGAGGACCTGCGTCAACGGGGGGAAGGCGGGAAGAGCCTTCGCGGGGCCTCGAGGGCCACTCCGCGACCCGCCGGGTGGACGGGGAGAGACGGCGGAACGGCAGAGGGGGCCCCAGGTAGGGGCCGGGAAGTGACCGGATGGCCTTGGTCCCGAGACTTGGTTAGTTACCGCGCGGCCGACTATAACCGGCCGTGCCACAGGGCGGTATCTCCGATTTCGACCGCTTTTTAAGACGACCGGACCACGCCAGCTAGGGTCCGGCTGGCGGGGAGAGGGGGACGGGGGAGCAGTACCAAAGGGGCGACAAGACGTGCTGACGGATACGCAGGATGCTTACGCGTGCGCGCCGTTCGAGAGGGAAGAATGAAGCTGCGGGTAGAATCATCGGATTTTTGCCCAAAGTTTTTCCTCGCACGATTGTGCGTAACACAGAAACGTCGTATATACTCGGCTTAGCGCTCTGCGATACCTTTTTTTTTTTTTTTTACAGGGACTTTAATTAAGTTCTTACTTTCTCTCTCTTTCTTTCGGTGACTCTCGTCGCGGATGAGGATAGATTTTATGAAAATAATTAAGTTAATAAAATTTACGATTTGCTTATGTATATTATAAAATTAAATCTTTCATACAAGTTACAACTCGCGTTCGTAAAGTATATCGCAAAAATGGATTTAATGGTTTAATTGTAATTTATTAGAAAAAATTGACAAATATATTTTATTGCTCAAGCGATATTGCAAATGTTATATTAATACAATATGCATAAAATTAATATTTTATTTATCTCGACGAGCTTTGTCGGAACGTAAAGATTAATTGCTATTATAAAAAAAATCAGAATCCTTTAATTCTATGTGGTAGTTATTTTGTACGATCGTATGACAAACTCGTATGACGAGTTAAATTTGTATAATGTGCTCTTAAGAATTACATATTCGATACGTGACACATTCGAGTAATTATATATACATATATATAGGGTGTATCTAAATAAGTGCGATCAATTTTAGGAAATAATTCTTTGTCAAAAATTAAGGAGGGTTTCTTATATAAAAATATATTCTTATATCCTCTCTGAGGAGTTACATTTTTTAAATTTCAGACAAATTGCGAAAAAAAACAACTTAATTTTTACCTCCCTCTTTATAAAAGTGTAACTTTTCAGGGAGAAATATAAGAATATATGTTTTATACATATAAGAAATCCCCCTTAATTTTCGATGAAGAATTATTTCCTAAAATTTTTTGCATTTATTTAGGTACGCCCTGTATACACACACACACACACATATATATATATATATAGAGAGAGAGATTTATATATTATAAAAATTTATATATTGCATATATAAATATCACAAGTATGACTGCGTAAACGCTAGAGTTGCGCAAAGCGTGAAACGCTGAAGAAATAATGAGGAACGTGAAATGCAACGTGTTTCCCGCACGTTCTTCCGCTCTCGTCGGCTTCCGTTTGTCACTGATTTCGTGGAGAATCGATGCCTACGTCGTCGTATAAATTGCGAAATCGCATTCGTCAGACTCCTCGCGCATCGCCGGGAGGGACTCCTGTCCGGAGCAAGAATGAATAGCCTGGTTACTTATCCACCATCGCGCTCATTATTGCTCAACAGGGGCAACTTATGAGAGCACAAGAAGGTATATCTGCGCAACGCGTACAATGAGATATACTGGGTGTTTAAAAAAGTTTCGCGCTTTCAAGCAGTATTCACAGCCGAATGAAGAAGAGCATTAATCTTTTTAATATCGCGAAAACATGATTAGTTTTTAAACTGTGAGAGATTGAAAACGAAAATCTTTTAAAGATAAATCGGCTCCATTCTTGGCAAGAAAGCTGCCATGGAAAATGGCATTTGATACACTATATACACTATAGCGCTTCGGTTAAATGTCTATTGAGTTAAATATTTTTTTTTTTTTCAATGAGTTTTGCAAAAGTTTTATTTGCGATATTGCCAGGCAATTTCGTCTAAATTCGATACTTCATACAGATCACTCGACAAGAAATACATCTGTAGGAAATATCATCAAAAACTTTGTTTTTTTGCTGACAAAACTTAAGATATTGGTAATTAAATTGTAGCAACTAGTAATTAATATTATTATAATTTTATTTTTCGCTCGTCTTAAAGATACAACAACCTATCAATGCAATCCGAAAAGTCTTATTAATTAAATACCGGCGAAATAAAAATGACGCCTTAAGAATACTTTATGAGATACAATTTTTTCCTGAATAATGATATTTTTCACACTTAATGACTAATGGTGGAGAATAGTAACTTCGTCAGGTATAGATGTAGTCCGTAAGAATATATTGCAGAATTCTGCGAATAGCGTTATACAGATTATTTTTCTGTTGTTTCAATTTATTTCGAACTACAACGAAAAATTAGCATAATGCGCGATAAGTTCAAAATTTCGCAAATCAAGGAATTATTATGGATTTTAATGATTTTTTTGCGTTGGGAAATTTTTGAACATAATTCTTTGTCTCTTCTCTACAACTATGAAAGTGTAAACTCGATATATTACGAAACTTGAGTTCGCAGTTTTAATTAAAGTATAACAAGAATGAGCGAATAAGACATTAATTACATTGTATAAAGCGCGAACTTGATTAAAATGAAAGAAATATAATTTTTTAGGTATTTATCAATCCTCTATTGTCCAATGTAATTTTAAAATCATATTAGTTTTTATTTATTTAATTTTCTTTTTAGATTCTTCTTCAATTGTATAATTGTAAAATAGAAACTTGTCTGTACATATTTCCATTTCTCTCGAAGAAAAGTACAAACTTTTTATAAACTATTATTTTAATCTTCGACTTATTTACTAAATATATTGAACATTTGTTAAATAAACAAATAATTTGGTCGATAGAGGGTTAATATCATTTCTTTCAATTTAATCGTAATTATATATTTATTTAAATTATTCACCTACTTTACACTGATTATTTAGATGTGGTGCTTTATGTCCATTCTTCATATTCTTATGTGAAATGTCGCCATGAAATCGGAGGCTCTAGTTACAACGTGCTCAAACTCGAGATACGACAGAGCTCCATCGCCGTCTATGTCGCTCTCTTCCAGAACTTTTCGACACACAGTAGTCATCTCTTCGGCACTTAGCCCACCTCGAGTCAGCTGCCGACAGGTGCGTTCCAAATCACCCATTCCCAGCACTCCGTCCTCGTCGAAATCTGTTCACGGAAAATTATCTTGAAGATGAAATATAAAAAAACATATTATTATCAAAACGAGAGACGCGAATTTAAAACTGATAATTAAAACAAATATTTTCTCGAGGCTATTCTTCTTCTCTCTATATACTAAAAATACAATTTATTTCAATATTTATGAGAATTAAAAAGCAATAAAAATATAACGAGAGAAAAACGCAATTTATGGTGAAGGAAAAACGTCTCGTTCGAAAGAGGGTATAATTATGACGCTGTACGTCGGCAAAATCGATCGGTTGTTCCGTGCAAATATTCTCGTGCATCGTGGATGTCGTGTCTGAACGCCGTATGTACTTCTCATCCCACGGAACTATAGGTACAGCGAGGTCGACCTCCAGGCTCTCTCACGGTTCGCTCGTTCGTCCGTTCATCCGTCCGTCTGTCTGGTTCACCTGGTGGTCCATACCGTAAATTTTAAAGGCGTAAAAGACTTTCAGATCCCGCGGTGCCTGTTCAGAGAACACGGACATCATCTCGAGGAATTCCTCGAAGCAGATTCCTTCGGTGATAGACGTCGAGTGTCCTGGATCCTGGCGTTGTGTAAAGACCTCCGAGATCCGTTCTCTAAATGGATTTTCCTAAAAATGAAAGAAGAAACAGATATCTCGTACGTCAGTAATAAATTCGAAAAAGTAAAAAAAAAATTATTTTATTTTTAGCTTTAAGATAAAAAATAAATATAAGTATATAGAATATAAGTAAATATAAGTATATAGAAATATATAGAATAATTAAAGTGAGTTAAAAAATTCTAAGAAACTCGTCTTACATAATGTCTGACATAACATTATACTTTACATATGTATATAGATATATTTACACACGCGTATATATGCAGAGCTATAAAACGAGCAGAATATTCTAATCAATATATTTTAAAAAATATATATTTGTATAGATTTCTGTAATAAATAATATAACATTATTTTCACTTTTTACTAAAATAATTTGTTATAAAATAAAAATTATCTACAAAATATATTTTTTATTATGTTTAAAACTAATTTTTTATATATTTAAAGTATAAACCTTCAATTCAGGAATACGAGTTAAATATGACAATGGTAAACGAAGAGACGATGCTTGTTGCGGTGTCATGGTACGCGGTACCATTCCAGAATCTCCTATCTCCCGGAATTTCTTAAATATTCTGAAAGAAAATGGAAAAAGTTTTAGCAAAGTAGCGATATTTGAAATTCCTTTACATTAATAATTTATTATGAAAATATTACCTCAAGATTTCTTTGCGCGTAAAAAAAGTACAATCCTGATAATCTTCAAGTTGTTCTTCGGTGAATGTTGCTACTTTATTACCCATTGTTAATGTTTATTATTTTTTTTATTTTCTCGCGAATATTAAATTTTAGAACATTATTATATTACACGCATAATTTTCTTTATATACATATTATTTTTATACGAAAAAAATTAATAAATTACATATTATAAAAAAAATATATAGATAGGAATTATAAAGAAATCGGATTAAAAAGGTTGTTACATTACGGAAGAACAACGAGGACTGAGTTTTCACATTCTCGATGTTCGATACGAATTCGTGCAATCTAATAACCAGGGTGTGTCTTGCCACTCCCATCTTTAGGGACGTTCTGATTCTGAATACTACTTCTAATTCTACGAGGGATTATGACCTACTTATATACTTTATTGTGAAGTGTATAGCAACGGTCGGTTTTTCTTTTTAATATTAACATTGCACGAATTTTCTAATATTAATCACATATCCATAAAATTCATAGGAAAATCTGTCAAATTTTAATTTTTGATTGTATAAGATAAATATACAAGTATTTTAGTAAATATAATTTAGTAAAAAGCTTTATTATATAAAATATTGTGCAATTAATCGCTGTACAACTGACATCAGTACTATAGAAATTATGTTGCTAAATGTGTTATATATACACAATAATTAGTTTGCCTTCAAATATAATAATCTTCTTCGTACGCTTCTTTACAATCAGCCAAATTATGAACACATTCCGTAAACTCGTCTTCCTCCAGTCCGGAATCCACAAAGGCGTGAAATTTCTTGATACTTCTTATCCTTTGGTCTGTTTAAGTAGAGATTCGTACATTGCCGCGATACTATTACCACTATGCATTCCAGCCATCACTGCAATCGAGTTTACATCTACAAAAAAATAAATAATATTAATATTCATTGTTCATCGTTATCTTTTAAAGAAAGTATTGATTAATGAAGATATACCTGTTCCTATGGGCCACTCGGCGATGTTACCATTCTCGGTTACATTATTATTGAATATCTTCGGATATGGTAAAGCAAGTTTCAACGGTGTCTCGATATTAGATAAATATGTAGCTGACGCGTGACACGTGCATGCCAGATAGAATGTCATCATTTCGTGTACACTGGAGCATTTATATGCTGGTTTTGATATCTGTTTGTTAGCTTCGTGAAGAGGTCGCTTTATTCTGTCTTCTGGAATTCCACGCAACGCTATACTTTGCATATTATTATCCATCGATATGTCGCAGCTCGGTGTCAGACTGGTCCATAGAGGTCCCTCAAATTCATCCAATATGTCTATTAAATCCATCTTTAATTTCATAGGGAATGGCAAATTCAAACTAGTCGCCGCTGCTTTGCGACCTAACTTGTTCAGATCAGCACATAAATCAGATAAACTGACATTTGGATATTTCTTAGTTCTATATCTTAAGGTCAACGTGTCCAAAGCAGTCGCTAATATTGCGCTACTGTGATACTTTAGTTCTGGGCTATATGTTATGTTTTGGAATTTACGTGCATTGGCCGCGAACGGCCATCCGACTTGCCCACAGGAAAGTGGACTGTAAAGTGATGAATACTCTCCAATGTGTTGCCAGCATAATGCTGTGTTAACAATTTTAATTAAATCTGACGCACTGGGTTCGGCATTGTTAAAGTCTAGACACGGAAATGCCAAAATACTCTTTCCATACTCATCACGTAGATGCTGAATGCAAGATGCTCCAAGACCAGCAAAACCATCAGTAGAATCCACAAGCACCTATTTTTTGAAAATAATTAGGCTCACAATATATCTGATATATAAATAAGTGTAATATAGAAAATATTCCAACATAATAAAATATATACCTGAAATCCTTGCATCAAATCACATTCTTCTACATATAGTCGTATTTTGTTTGAAAAGTCTTCAGAGAATTGTTCTGTAGTCCACAAATCGCGACCATATGTGAATATATTGAATGGTCGTTGTGTACAATTGTGTAAATATTCTTTGATAACTGTCACCGTTCTTGGATGAAATAACGGTACAATATAGTCGACCCACGACTTAACATCATTTTCAAAATTGAAAATTTCAGAATCCACAGTTTTATTAGATTCATTTAAACTTTGAATAAAAGGTGATACAGAACTAGGTTCAGCATTGGTAACTTCCAATTTTGAATCATCCCATAGCAGCTGATTATCTGAAGAGCTCTCTGTTTTATATAAATTACCTTCTTTGCTCAGATAACCTAATGCTCCTTTTAAATCTGCTATTAATAATCTTGGTGTAAATGTAACCTGTTTCTGAAACACAATTGTTTCATTGTATATATAATTACTTATTTTGCATCATAATATTTATAATCAAACTTTTACTGGGGACACATGCAACTTTATTAATTTCATTACAATTAAAATTTATTACAATTAATTTACTATGTAGTTTATTTAATATTATGTAAAACACATTTCACAAATAAATATATCTGGGTGGTTCTGTTTTTATATATTAATTTTATTGTTTTATTTGTAACTCTTATTTTTTATATCTCTCAGTAAGAAATAATGTAACCAAGTACATTTTTAAAGAAATGCATATCTCTATCCAAAATTAATCAAGTCGATACAGAAAAAATGTCTTGCTATAAAATAAGATAGAAAAAACGACTATTTATGTAAATCTTCTAAAAAGTTACAGTTTTGCAGTTACATTTGTAACTAAAACTAGGTGATAGATTCTTGTTAATATATCTGCACATTTGTGACACATGTTTAAAAATAATTGTATTTGTTCAATTATACTTACTCGTACATTTTCACCTTCTCTATACAAAACATCATGATTTACTTCAGATGGATGCTTCGGATCGTATGAAAAATTAGACTCCTGTAATAAAAGTTATAATAAAGTGTATTGCAATCTTTTAAGGATTCCAGATATGTTGAGATTTGTAATAAAAAATAATATAATTAATACCTGCAAATTCCACCAATGCGCACCGATGAAATTAGAATAATGACCCAATTGAATGGTCAATATCTCTCGTGTTGTCATTTTATTTTATTCCTTATAGAAGAATATGACAATATATATTCCTTCTTTCTTAATTGTTTACTGATTTTCCGTCAAATGCAGAATTTTGAGGTTATCTCTTGTAATATAAAATATCAACACACACGACAATCCTCATTTCCATGAAAGACACTCGAGTTTAGAGTATTTGTAGGGTCTTTTTAAAATTCTCTATTCAATAACCAATCAACTTATCCGGCATATATGACGCGCGGATTCATGTGATATTGGTTTTAAATTTTTAAATTTTACGTACACACGAATGAGAATTAAAATGCTGATATAATAAATTCAATAGGCTTCTGCGATTTATTTACAACCGAAAATTTTAATTCCCTTATTATATCAATATATTCGATATTTTGCTATAAAATTAAATTAATAAAATATTATATGCAATGATTCTACTCAATAATGTGTTAATAAAAATGTTAGTATCGTTATTATAATGATATTATATATTTATATAGTTTAATACAAATGATTATGATACAAATAATTATAATTATAAAATATTCAAAACTAATAGCATTTTTAAATATAAGTTTAATATGTTATATTAATTTTTTAAAATATATGTTTATTATTTGTATTATAAACTATATAAATATATATTTATATAGTTTAATACAAATTTTTATTCTGATTTAGCTACACAAAGCCAATATAAAGAGAAGATAAAGAAACGTTTTAGAACTGAGGGAACTCCCGTATAAAAGATAATGAAACTTATATATACACGCACAAAAATAAGTTTCATCATCTTTTATACGGGAGTTCCCTCAGTTCTAAAACGTTTTTTTATCTTCTCTTTATATTGGCTTTGTGTAGCTAAATCAGAATAAAAATTTGTATTAAACTATATAAATATATATTTATATAGTATTTATATTTATATAGTTTTATATTTACTTACTTTTGAGTGTGCATATATAAGTTTCATTATCTTTTATACGGGAGTTCTCTCGCAGTTCTAAAACGTTTCTTTATCTTCTCTTTATTTGGCTTTGTGTAGCTAAATCAGAATAAAAATTTGTAGTGCGGTAGAGCTAATAAAACAATGTCGTTTGAAATTGATTATAAAAAATATTTCTCTGAAAATATGGTTCCAACATTAACGACTAAATTAATCGGACATTATAGTATTGACGGTGATTCACAATATCATGCCGATTTATCACAAATGAAGTATTATATTCCTCCTGAAGATCTTAACAACGTATCCTTCGATCTTAATAAAAATTTTATGTCTACTCGTTATAAACCTACTTCGCATGTCAAATTGGATAATCTATTAAGATGGATTGCGGATAATTTTAATCTACTTGAAAAACCATTATCAACACAAGAAGGCCAATGGTATGTTGTTAAATAATCATTTAAGTATAAAATTTATATATAGATACATTTTTGAAATATATAATGTAAATTATTCTTGCACACACACACACACAAAAATATATTAATTATTTTATTTCAAACTATGTAATAATGCATATATATATTATGAAAATTATTTAGATCTAATTAATTAAATTATTAGTAATATATATATATATATATATATATATATATATATAAAATAAATTATTGGATAATATACGACATGTTATAACCATTACTTTTACATATTAATTAGAAATATTAATTAGGTTGGACACTGATTTTATTTGCCGTCGTGGTGTGTTAAAAACATTATTATGCACTCCATATAAAAAATTAGATAAATGGATTATTTGTGCTAGCAAATATCGTGGCACGATATATTTATGCGAATTCTACACAACTGAAAAAGAACAGCAACATGTTAATGCAACTGTGGAAGATAAACAAATTGAATTATGCGGATACAAATTAGAACAATATTTGGTAGCAGGTATTTTAAATTAATGTGCATATGAATTTGATCAAGTTATTTTTATTTTAAGTGCAACAGAATAAGTATTTAATTTAAATTAAACTGATTAAATATATACTTATTTTTTTCATTAGATCATCCATCACATAAACCAGATCCATCGGTACTTAATGAATGTGAAAAATTTCACTGTATATTTCAAGCAAAATTTGGTGATCATTCATTATTATATACAGCAGAAATAGATGGTATTGTTTCACAACAGCCTATAACTGATACACTTATTGGCAAAACGTTTGAATTGATTGAAATGAAATCAATATCAACTCGAGTTTATAATGTAATTGGCACACCAGAGTATAACAAATATGGAACATTCAATTCTAGAAAACTAGTAGACTGGTGGAGTCCGAATTATTTATCAGGAACAGAAAGACTTATATGTGGATTAAAAAACATGGATGGAAAAGTGACCATGATAAAGGAATATCCTACGCATACTTTGCCATTGCTTTCAAACGTAAGTAATTACATTTAAAAAAATATAACATTTATGTAATATATACAGCGATTAATAACATTAATTTGTAATTATTTACTATTGCAGCCTTGTTGTAATATAGACAAGTGTAAAATGTTCTGCAAAATGTTTTTAGACAATGTCAAAAAAATTGTCATCAAAGATTATAATGAGAGCATGTATAAATTTTATTTTGATGGATCCAGGTTTATTACTTATAGTGAAATAGCTCCTAATGATGAAATGTATTCCTTCTTAAAGCCATGGTTTGTTGATGAAGCAGAGAATTACAATACTTTTCAGTAAATATATAAATTAAGATATTTATTTTATAAAAGAAAAACGCGCGTCATGAAAAATGTATTGACAATATTTTATATATTATGATACATATATAGATATACGCAAGTTAATAAAATAATAATTTTTTAAAGAATTTTTTATATGTTATTAAAATAAGGAATATGACATATATGTATGTGAAATTATTTTAATAACTTTCTAGCTTTTGCCAATATATAATAATAATTATTTTACATTTTATATAAACGTTTATAATTAAATAAATATAAGTTCACATATTTATACTTCAACTGTACTTGAACAAAATAAAAATTTTATTGCATATATATATCAAACACTTCGACCTAGAACTTGATTCATTGCATCCATCTCTTTATGGGACATAGGTTCCAACATTAATCCAGGTACTGGTGGAGTTAATTCTAAATCACGTAATTCATTTACTTTTATCTTTAAATTGCTTCTTAATTTATTAATCGCAGTACTGCATTCTTTCTGATCTGAAATATTGATTATATTACTGTATAATACGAAAATTTTATAGAATTTAAATAGATTCCTTTTCTGTTTGGAATTACCTTTCTCGAGCAACTCTTCAGCAGCTTTAGATGGCATCTTTAATAGCAATGGACCTACAGTTATCCATGTTTTTTCATGTGATTGTTTTTGTAGTGCCCTCATTCCAACGCGATCATCATTTCTTCTCTTATCAAGAGCGATTATTTCTTCGCGATCAGTAAGAATTTCACCAGCTTTATTTTCAACACTTTCTAAGTGTTCCAATAATATTTGATGTTCACTCATTATCTGTAACATATTAATACATTTATATATTATTACGTTAATTATATATTGAAAGGATTGCATTTGTATATAAGATAATTTCAGAAAGTTTTCATTCTCTCTATATTTTAGTAAAATCTTAGTAAAATAAACACTAAGTATTTGTGAATTTTTATATAATTTTATTAACATAATAATTGACATGTGATATGACATATGAAGAAATTTTAACTGATCTTTATTAAAAATAGAAAGAAATATATATTAAAGAAATAAGATATAAATATATATTGTAATATAGAAATATTAAGATTAACTTACAAGTATAAGTACGTAAGAATAGTAATAATTATTTTCATTCACATTCAATCTTTAAATATATATATATTATATTAACATTTATTTATACATATATTTTAAGATAATGCAATACGTAGAGCTCTTTCTTTTCTGGCGTCTCGGTGAAGTAATCTTTCCCTGTCCCTTTTTTTCAAAGGTTTCTGTTTAGGTGTCTTAATGCTGCTAATGGCAGTTGTATCACCTGGTTTGAAATGGGTAACTTTATATTCACTTTCCACTGAGTGTCCTAATCCTTTGCGATCTGTTTTTAAACATGTTTTAATTGGATATTTTATTCCTTTTCCAGAAGGTCCAAGACCAGCTTCCTCATCCCATCCTGTATTCAATAGCATTCTATATCCTTTATTTTGTCTTGATATTCCATACATTGTATGCTTTAATTTTGGTTTTGTGTTAAAGATGTGTAAAGTAGAGGTTTCATGTTTTTCTGGCGTTGTCTCTTGAAAGGTTGCTTTACAGACATCACAGTAAACTATTGAGTTGTGCTGTATCTTCTCTTCTGTAATATTGTAAACACCTATATCATGTTCAGAAGATTCCTTAGACATTGTTTTCATTGATAAAGCATTTGTATTATTTATTTTTGGTACATTTATAGACGATGGATTATTATTCATCGATTCAGATTTCTTTTTTAATAACGCAACTATACTTAAATAATTTTTTTTCAAAGCTAATTGGGCCGCAGTAAGACCAGATCTATCCCTAATTCTTCTATTAGCTCCGAGATTTAGCAAAAATTGTACAATTTCCAAGTGACCGCAGTAAGCAGCAGACATTAACGGAGTCCAACCAAAGTCATCTGATACATTCACATTTTCTGATGTCATATGTTTTTGTAAGAATTTCATATCCTTTTGCTCCACTGCTTTTAACAATGTATTGATTGTCACTTTTGCTAGAATATCTTCAGGAACTGTAGCCCTCCTTGATTGAGTATTGAAGGAAGTTTGATTTGTTCCAGAGTTACTTTGGTTTCCAACAGTCTTTGACTTTAAGTACTTGAATCTTGTTGTCATAGCATTGCTGTTACTAATTTGCTGGATAACTTCCTCATAAGCAGCCTTTGCTTCGTTTCCTTGGAAGGCCAATTGACAAATACATTTATCAGGAAGTTTATCTTGTTCACTGGAAGATTCCCTGACGAATGCTTTCCATGATATATCAATATTGTGTCGTATATGCATCCACTGTTGCAGAGACATTTTCTAGCACTCGCTGGACATGTGTCACTTGGATTTTTCACCTTGAAAATTGTACGGATATTTTGCTCAACAATTTGCTGTCAGTCTGTATTTATTTTTTTAACAGTCTGAGACATTTGTGAGCAACACGTTGCTCTGTACACCTTGTATCTCCGTAATGTCAAATGTCGAAAAAGATGTAAAAAAACCGCTACTTTAAAACAGTAGCAGTTGGTATATGTTGTACGTAGAAACTCAAAATTTTATTATAAAGATAAAACGTCTGCAGCAAAATTTACCTTGCTATTTTGCCACGATTATGTCAGTCGTGTGTGTCAATTTATTTCACACTCCTCTTCGACAAAATAGTAACCATGTGAGACAACTGTACGTGCCTGTATTCCCTAGAAAGCGCAATCCTGCTTATTTCTTCTAGAATACTCGATCGTGAATCGTGATTCGTTGCTCCAGTGTATAAACTCGTTGTGTGGCTTGAGAAAGAGATCTACGAGAAATTATAAGAGGTTAGAGATTACCGGTGATCGCGTGGTATATGTTCAGGTACATGAAATCTTTTTATTTGTAATCTTGAAATATAATAACACAGTTAAATAAAAGAGCATGCCTTTGCCAACTTGGGCGAAGATAGGAATTGGATGGTAGGTGCGGATGTCATTTCGGAAAATTTCTACAGACCTTCACATTTCACGTGTACGATTTTCACGTATCATGTCGATTATTTTAACTTTAGATATATATAATAATTATTGCATTCAAAAGGCATGATTTTGAGTCTATATTTTGACATTTGCATAGTTCAAAGATTTTTTCCGTGAATTTTCCTAGTTAGTAAAAAATTATGTATATATATATATATATATATATATATATATATATATATATATATGTACCTTCATTATAGAATAATGAATTGATTTTAATTGCAGGTCTGTAGTCACTGTTGTAGGAATTTACTCATTTGTGCTATCTAAGAAAAGTGTCAATGCCAGAAGATATGAGATTATGAAAGCTAGACAACGTGTGCGCGACACCAATGTTATAGATTAATTTATGATTAAGAAATAAAGAATTTGAAGAAGACTACAAAAGTACAAAGCTCCTGGAATAATGGCAGCAGCGTTACCACAACTGGACGAAACTAAACTTAAATTAGTACAGGATTTAGAAATAGAAATGATGTCAGATATGTATAATCGTATGACATCTGCATGTCACAGAAAATGTATAGCACCAAAGTACACCGAGGCTGAATTAGGCAAAGGAGAGTCGATATGTCTGGATCGTTGTATCGCCAAATATTTAGATGTTCATGAACGTATTGGTAAAAAACTTACACAAATTTCAATGCAAGAAGCAAAAGTTGCAGAGCAATCAAAGACAAATTAAATTTTTACAATATTAATTGCATTGATGAGATTTTTATGTAATCTCTTAAAAGTAATATCTTCAGTTTTCTTTTGATTATTCTAGTTTTAAAAACTTGATGTAAATTAGAACAAATAAAATAAAATACAGATGTTCTGTATTTAGTTTATGAATAAAATTGAACTTCATAAAATGTTACAAATTTTTAATTCTCCAATTTTCAAATATTTTAATTTAATTTTTTCATATACACAAATGTAACATTATTTTACTAATATACGTAAATATTATGAAGTTTTAATTTTGAATAAAAAATTATATATATATATATATATATATATATATATATATATTATATATAGTTTATTTTTTAAAAAGTTGTGACAGATGAATTGATACAATTTTATGTACAAATGGTTTATTCTCAAAGAAAGAATTTTATATAATTAATAATAGATTTATACACAACACACATTTTCAAATAAAAATAATAATAATGCATATTACACATTAGCTAATTTTACAATTATCTAGATTTTCATTAAACTTAAATGGTATAAAAATTTTGTTATATTTTTGTGTATACACATTAATAATTTTTATTAAATATTCAAAATATAATATTTTATCTGTTCAAAGTATTTATCCATGAGTACTTTCAGACATAAGTTTTGATTTGCAAGTAGAATTTTAGCAATAAATGTATATAATAGTAGAAAGTGGTAAAAAAATAATAATGTAACAAGAATTCTAAGAACATATATATTGATTGTAAGCATGATTTAATGGACTTTATGGCACCAAGAGAAAAAACGCACGAATTTAATTATTGTAAGTCATTGGAACAATTGAAATCTTAATAACAAATATTTAAATTTTAGCAATTTAATTTCTATTTAGCAGCTTTCTATTTAGCAATTGACACGATACTATGATATGAGCGATAAAAATAAATTTATTTTTCAATGTTTTTGTTGTCCAAATTTATATCACATACACATTTAGATTAAATGTGATATGATCTAATATTAACCAGCAGTTTTGTCTTTTACTGGACGAGTCGTTGCCAAAGCCAAAGTATGCTGACCTCCGCCACTAACTCGTACTACTGTTTTACCTTCTAACTGCTTTCCTTTAACTAATACTGGCTCATCGACATCTTTTACATCACCTGTTCCCAGATTTCCATTAGTTCCCATGCCCCATGAATATAATTCACCTGTTGCAATAAAATACAGAACATTATATATAAAATCGACTATTTTTCAGGGAATATTGATAAATCCACATTATTTACCTGATTCTGTAACAGCAAAAGATTCTCTGCTACCTGCACCCACATCAATACATTTAATAGAGCTTAAAGTAGGAACTAATGTAAGTTCATCTGCATCTAAGCAATTAGATCCGAGTCCAAGGCGGCCATACTCTTTGCGACCCATCACAAAAACTTGTCCTGCATCATCCAAAGCTATAGTATGATGTTCTCCACTGCTGATATGTTTCCATATTTTACCACTAAAGGTTTTTGATAATTGTGGATGAAAGATGATATCATTGTTTTTTAAACCTGAAAAATTTCCCAATAAATATGAGATATATAATATTGAACAATACATATAATCTTTAAAGCCATCTATCTTACCAATTTGATGGAAATTATTTAGACCAAATACATATATATCTCCTTTTTGATGCTCCTTGGCAAATGTACAAAAATTTCCTGCCCATATATCATCAAACTGTAACTTTTTAGTGATTTTGAATTCAACTATGCCTGGAATTAGTAGCAGACCTATTCCTTGTCGTGAATTTCTACTGGCTGTTCGTGCAGCTACTCGTCCTAATTGTCCTTGTTCACCGCGTCCGCAAGTATATATACGTCCATTTTCACTAAGTAATACTAAATGATCGCTACCTGATGCTATTTTGACAATTTTTATTTTAGGTAATATTTCTACAGGGAATCGTTCATTCCCTTTCATTGTTAGTCCCATAGAACCATGTGTATCCTAAGTTACAAATTTATTGCATTAATAAAATTTTCTCTTAGCACTATATTATAAATAAGTAAAGATTATATAAATTAATAGAAGTAATATACCCTAAATGTGCCCCAAGCAAATACTCGTCCATCTTCTAACAATGCGGCGGTATGCGAGTCACCTGCTGTCACCTGAATAGCTTTACCAGGCAATTCAACTGTGTCTGGTACTGTTTCAGATCCCTCTTTAGTGGTGTCTCGTCCAAGTGCTCCCTCATCGTTACATCCAAAAGTCAATACTTCGCCTGTTTTTCTCAAACATGCATTATGCATTGCGCCAGCTACTATAGCTATAACATCTTGATAGTCGGATATCGCTGCTGGACGCATCTTCTCAGTGACTTCCTCTCCTAATCCAAGTTGTCCAAAATCACCTTGTCCGAATACGAGCATAACGCCATTGGTTGAGAGTAATCGTAAGTCAGGTTTCACAGTTATTTCTATAAAATAAATTTGTATAAGTTATACTTGTGCAACAAGATTTTTCAATATGAATGAGCAACTTCTTGATATCGATCCGGCAAAAACGTCAATATCTTTTCTCTGTCATGACGTAAATAAATGATTACAAGAAATATTTCTTACATCCCTCTTATAAGAGTCTTGTAACATGCTGTAAGTCTTGTAACGTGCCCGATTAGACACGTAGGTTACGATATAAGGAACCAGAAAAATGAAAATTTTTATCAGATAGAAAAATTGCTGGTCAACGTACCTTGCTTCTGTTTGATTTGCTTCGCAGGTTTGTCTGCCTTCGTGGGATCCACGGCCGTCCGTTTCGCGGCTCTCCTTGGCGGCACTGCGATATTATTAAGGTTATGTTTGAAAACGTGCTCGTAAAACGCTTATTATGACTGTCACACGCGGCTCGAAGAACAATTTTGACATCGTCATTCGTGCAGGTACTTACTTTTGTCGTTGTTTCTCGTGGATCACAAATATATGCAATTCCTCGCTCCGTTGGCGCCAAAAGTTACCGATGCTCCGCTTTGCTCTTCACGAGTGTTGTGTTGCGCAACTCGTGAATTCGTGAAGGTACGACGAAGATGGTTGCACGGCGCTAACAGCTGCTTCGGTCCTTTCGAGTGATTCTCATTGGCAGGTTTGAACGTGTAGCTCATTTGCATACATTGGACGGGAACACGAAGCCTTAACGCTTTTTTTCAATAAGGGACAAGTCTGGAGCAAAACGATCTTTTTCGAGTTGTCGTTTCTTCACGAACGATCTCCCGCTAAAATGCACGTCACTTCACGTAAGTGAGCTCCCAAAATTTAATTTATAAAAAAGTCCTCTTTTACTGCTCGGACGAATATTTATATATTCACGCAGAGATGTTGTTGACAGAAAATTTTAGAAAATCGTCTTAAAAATAGAAAGCATTTTTGACAGATATTTTCATATTATGCTATATATACATATCTATATGTATATTTGTTAAAATATTTTTATAATAACACACATTTCCAGAATCGATTTTGCTACGTGTATCAGAATAAAACAATTAATAATTACGTACGCATCATCGACACGATAAAATAATATAGAGTGACGTTTGATGTAATAATTTAATCGAAATAATTTGGTTTCAAATAAAATAACTCAATTATTTTAATATATATATATAAATACAATACAATTACACACACATACACAACGCCAATTAATAAATGAAGTAATTTATTCACAGATAGATAACTCAAGCGATTCGAAAAAGACGCCGTACATTACATTGAAACTTTAGGTTTGTGTTCAAAAATACGTTCATCAAAGCGCAGAATTTGATCGACCAATCAGAGACCGAGGATCTCTTTGTCCTGATTGGTCAATCGAGCGCTTCATCTACGTGAATATATTTCCGAACACAATCTAGAATGCTGCCATCTGATGCACTTTCGAGTTGTTCATGATCAACGTTTGTCGCGTTCATTGTCGGTCCGCGTAAATACGAGTGTCTTAATTAATTATCCTTAATTAATTAATGCCTTTACGTGCGCGTGTGTCGTTAATTATCGTATAAATCTGATCGCGTCGCGTGTATCGACATCGTGATCGCGATCGCTCGCGCGAAATTAATCTCGTCAGTCGTGAATCTCGCGGTAAGATTCGTTCTCCTGAAAACGCGTTGTCACGTGACGCGTGACGTCACGGCTCCGACTCGAGTTCGCGCCATAAGTTCGCGCGCGCGAGGTTATGAGGACGGATCGCGAGAATTATCGCGCGCTTTCGGCGCGAAAATTCTCCGAGTTTTTCGGCGTCGTCGATTGTACTTCAAGCGGAAGTTTGCGCGTTTCCGGTCGTACTTTCGCAGTATTGTGTCGAAGTATCGTTACGCGATGTATTAGTACATAATATTCGCAAAAATCGCAGGTCGATTACTACGGTCGCGCTGTCATATTTTATTGTTATAGAATCTCTCGCGGCGTTTCCGAAATACGCGTTCGACAATCAAAATAATAATCGGCAAAGCTTCTGCGCGATTTCCGGGATTTCTCCGTCGTTAAGTATTCAGTGAAACATAAAATATAGTGTCTAGTGTCCAATTCGGGAATATCAGCGACTCCTGAGTTGTTCGCGGGGGAAGTGGCCTTTGTTATTTGATAAGGTTCTCCGTGGCCAAAAAAGCGGCGACACGAAAACGGAGCATCGGTTTATTTGTGCGCGAATATGTTCCTGCGATTGGAAAATGTAATAGAAATGCGTCGAAAATGTGATAGCTGAAACCGGGCGTCACCGCATGTCGCAAACGAAAAGAGTAACACGAGTGTGCAAGTGTTTCGAAGCTGCTACGAGAGGAGGAGCAGGCCCGGGGTGGCATCAGGTATCGGCGGAACAACTATATGGTGAATATTAATTTATTGTTTATTTATTGATAATATTAATTTATTTATTATTTATTGATAAAGTGATAGAAAAATATACGCCTAGTATTGACCGGATATTCAAGATAAAAATTCGATATAGTACATTTACAATATTGTATATTAGTGTGCATAAAACACTGTAACTTTTTTTCTACTTGAGAGCGATAATTTTAATTTACAGATTTGCATTTTATGCATAAAAATACACAATATTGTAAAATTTTAGCAAAATCGGAGAGGACCTCTCAGTATTATCTTAAATTCTATCAGAGTTGATCATAAAAATAGTTTGTGTGTGTGTGTATATATATATATATATATATATATATATATATATATATATATATATATAGTTTAATAGAATTTAATATCGTGAAGAAACGACGATATATATATATATATATATATATATACGTGTATATACAGGGTGTCCCAGAATTACCGCATCACATGTTAATGGGACATTCCTGAGGCGATTTGGAGACGATTTTTCCTCAGCAAAAATGTCGAGAAAGTCATCATTTTTTTAATGTTCCCAATTTTTGAAATCATGTATCTTTTTGTAACTAAGCCTTAAATTAAAATTCTATTAAAGTAAACTTTACCTGAAATTAACTAAAAAATGCAGTTTTGTTAATAATTTATTTTTACAAGGCTTAGCTTACAAAATAACTTTTATTTTCAATCATTTATAACTCGAAAATTATTGGTGCCTGGACATTTTCGTTGAGGAAAAATTGTCTCCAAATCGCCTCAGGAATCTCCCATTAACGTGTGATACGGTAATTCTAAGACACCCTGTATATATGAACGTAAGTTAGCTCATAAAAATGTGGCGAGTTTGGATAATGCGATTAATATTTTCTAACTCTCGTAAATTAATAAACAAGAGTGAACGCTGTTTCCCGCATGTACATATTACAATAAAGCTTCATAAAACCGACTGTGGTATGTTAAGAAAGTTTTGGATTCTGCGGTTTAATATTCCGACGCTTACCGGACTAACATCGTTTTCTGGCGGGCAAAACTTAATACCGTGGGATATTAAAAGAATTTTTAAAAGTAGTTTTCTCTCTCTCTCTCTCTCTCTCTCTTTACAATCTCGCCTTACAATTACTGCATAAGATCCAGAGAAGACGAGATACAGAAATTTATTTAATCACGGTTTTATTTTGCATTGTTGAAATATTATTTACACCTTAATCATTAAAAATATTTCTGTAATAATATTTTGTTTTTATTTTTATTATGATAATTATTTCGCTTTTATTATTATTTTATTATATCCTATTATATACGAGTATATTTACATATTATATTTTTAATTATTTATGTTTATTATATTCCGCAAATATGTCTTTGCATATATATCATATGAAATCGTTATAAAAATCTCTTTTTATAAAATTGCGATACATTAATTACTGTTGAAAGTAAATTCCTCATTTGGAGCTGCAAATTAAACAGTTTTATTAAAGCAATGTTTTTTCGAGCCACCGAAATTAGCATTGTAATTATGTACTTGAGTACTTTTTCTCGTCGCAAGATCGTTTTCGTTCTATCTTCTTTGAGAAAAAGAGGGGAGGACGCAAATCTGTTTATCTTGTAGAAACTGTTCCATAAATCTTGCCGGCGGCTTGTCTTGACAAGAGCGAGACAGGAATGGGAGCGAGATATAGAGCGAAATTTTATGAAGCCGGCTATTTTGGTTTTCGCATTAGATAAAGTTTAAAATTCGCCTTCACTTGAAAAGCAACGGAGATAACTCGCAATTTAATAAAGCGAAAATGTCGTAACGAGGAAACAACGTTCGTATTTCAGTTTACTATAATAAACACGAACGAGAGAAACACGGAAATGTGTTAAATAGACATTAATCAATGTGACAGTGTAATGTAATACACTAATTATTGCAATAGCATGAAAACGATAATTACATATATAATCTTATTTATACACTTGATATAAATTAAATTCTCGTCTGTAAAAAAATTCATTTAATTCCGATTTCAGGTGAAATTCGGTGTAGCTTGATCGAAGAACGAACGTCAGCACACGGAGCACGGAAAATTAAATCGGATTTTCGGGAAATTTGTTATCGTTTGGTGTGCGCGGTCGCGATTCCCAATAAAATGCGAATTAGCATGCGACGGAGGATGACCGCGGGAGTGCGCGTAACACGGCTGAGGGATGAAGAGGGAGCAGAGGGTTGCAAACCGGTGTCGGAGGGGTCGCGAAAGCGCGCCAGTCGACGGCAGTCGACGGCGAGACTTCGCCCGTGCAGCTTCTACCTCTGTTCCTCTCTCGCCCCCTGCCTCGTCTGTCGTCTATCTGTGACTTCTTTCATCCCCGTGAAATTTCCGTTTTGCAATCGACCCGTGGAATTGAATATCGCTCCCTTCGCGCGAACGTTTCTGCGAAATAATTCGCAGCGAGAGGGAGATCACGTGACAGTCGCGCAAAAGACGCGGGACCGTCGTCGCGATACGATCGAGGGTGACATCTGCGGATCTTCGCTTCTTCGTGGGACGAGATCGTTTGATGTAGAACCGTGGAGCTATGACGAGGACGACGCGCCGATTTTTACTGTTACTGTTGCAGATGCTGGTGGGCGGTGAGTGATTTTTTTATATCTTGCTTTTGCCTGGAGAACGAGCCTGGCGAACAAATATTTGCGAGAGACGATCGCTACGCTTTTAATATTTTATATGTGAAGTTTGCAGTTGAACAAACTTTATCAGATACTAAAGATTTGTAACTTTCTCCTGCGAGACAATTTTAGAAAAAGCAGGTGTAAATAAATATAACAAAAAATAAGTCAATAGCAAATGTATAATTAATAAGATAAATCTCATTATTACAATTCGATTTACACAGTGAGCATTGAACAATAAATCGCCGTTAAATAATATATACATACATATGTCCCTTTAAATGCAGTTTCAACATTGAGAGTATAATATTTTTGCAAATAAAATATTTAACATTTAAATTTTTTTACACAAATTAAAAATTAATAATAAATCTACATACTATGTGATAAAAGAGAAGAGGAGAGCTTATATTTAACATATGTCAATATGTCAGAACATCGCGGAAAAGTTGCAAAAAAAATTTAATTGATAAAAATTAAATTTCACAAAATATAACTGGCTGTATTATAATTCAAGAATATATAAATGTCCGTGATTCTATACGTGCGATCATTTATTCTTTGCTGGCTGCGCTTACATTCTGGTGCAATGGTGTCTCGGAGGCCGCGCGACTTGTTGAGCCACCACCTACCTCTTTCCTCGGAGAGTAACCGAAGCGTGCACCGAATTCGCGCGTGACAAAATAGATTTTTCGAAGCAGAACGCTCGTGACGAAAGTGGATTGATTTTCTTGCCCGCGTGAACGTATCAGCGTTTTCTCAATCAGACTGAGTGGTTGCCGTGGACGTCGCGACGCTTGCCGGCGCGCACACGTGCTTTTAAGAAGTGAAATGCCGCCTTTTCGAAAAGTCGTTCGAGCGAAACACGTCGATTCTATACATATACCCCGTTCCTGATTCGATGGACCGGCGATGTTGTCGTGCGAGATCGGGAAAGCACTTGGAATATTAAAGAGTGTTTATACGCAACACTTTCTTGAATCTAGAATCTCTGTCGCAAATATTTTTCTTATACGGAAAATAAAAATTATTCATGCTGAAGCTTTAAATTTAGAAAACTGTACATATATATATAATTTGACTCTTTTTAAATAAAAATTTTCTCTTTCTATGCAATGTATAAAATAAGTGAAAATAGGTAGCAGCAAAACATAATTAGTACATTGATATATTAGTATATACAATAATATTATATATTATTAGATGTTTCAATATTTGTTATTCTTTTCTGCATGGTTTTTATGATCAGTTTAATATTTTTGACCACTGTGAATAGTGTCGATTTTTAACTTATCGTATCTTGAGTATATAATTAGAATAATAAGATTCTAATAATCAAACTAAATAAAGGAGAAAATGGACTAATTGAGAGCTAGGCGCGGTAAATAGTACTTATGCACATTTAATTCTTGATAATATAGTTTATTTTATACGTTTCGGTCCGGGATTTGGATCATCTTCAGTAAACCGTCGACATGGTCCAAATCCCGGATCGAAACGTATAAAATAAATTACATTATTAAAAATTAAATGCTATTGACTGACAGTCTGACTCTCAATTAGCTCGTTTTCTTTTTTACTTAGCTTGAATATATATTTGTCATATTTTTAAATTCCATAATTTTTAAATTAGTTTTTCTGAATATCTATATGCGAAATAATTTAGCTTGATCACGAAATTCATCGTGAAGAATGCATTTGAGCTTATAAAAGGTGAGTGTGCAATTTTTGAATATTTCACGCCCGCGTCTCATTTTGATGTCGAATTATGAAATATCCAAAGAGAAAGAGAGAGAAAAAGAGAGCATTGAGCTCGTCGTCCTTTTACGCATTCTTGAAAAAGATACGTTTCTAATGTTTTCTCATCCGGGTCGCGGATGAACGAAACGTTTATTTATCTTTTCCGGCACAGGCCTCAAAGCATTTCAGTTTTTCGCTTATGAAACAAGATGTGATGTTCACCCCGGTGTCCATCTCGCGATGCATCGCACGCGCAAAGGCAGTTGAAACAAAACGTGAGAAAAAAAAGCCACCGTTAACCCAGTTTCTTAGCTATCAATCATCACACGATGTTCCGCGGCAGACCAAGCGCTGATAGAATTTCTGATGAAAATCGAAAAAAGATAGTTATCTTTCCCCTCTACCTCAGATATTAAATACTTCCAAAAATTAGATATTTAATTTATATAAAATTGATACTTTTTTAGGCAAAAACTTTGTTTTTGCATTATTTTTTCTTTTATTTAACTTTTAATATATGTATATGTTGAATATGCAATAAATTAATCTTAAAAGACTGAAATTAAAAATTTTTAAATAAAGATTACTTAAAATTATTTTAAATATAATTATATTTTCTCTCTCTCTCTCTCTCTCTCTCAACGTTTATTTATATTTTAAGAATTTATATTTCCATTTTTTCAAAGCACTTTTTGTAGTTGATGTTAACAAATAGCCACCATATTTTTGCATTGTTTGTATAACAAGGAATGTGTAAATAGAGAAACAGACGAAAATCAAATATCAAATATTATTAGCCAAATTGATATTACACATGATGAATTAAATGCTGTTGAGAGTACACGCGAAATCATCATGGTGTGTGTCCTCGTTTAATTTTTTTTTTTTTTTAGAACGCTATTGTTATTTCAATTTTGATTTTACTCTGTAACAAAGTTATTATTTTGTTATATTTTGCCCTCAAGAGATATATTTTTATATTAAAATCGTACTATTATTATAAATTCGACAACTCGTGTTATTTTACAAAGTCCGCTATATCTGAGCGAATTAAAAAAAAAATACAGGAGCGAAATATCCGTTATGATATATCGATATATAAGCGCAACACAGTAGAAAAACATTGTAGGGAAAATAAAAACAGTTCGGATGAAGTTGGAAAAATTGAAGGCGCAGCAAGAGAAAAACTCATGAGAGAAAGAGACGCAAGTCGTAAAACCGCTTCGCGAAACGACGGGGGTGACGTTTGCGAGATCGAGTTTGGTCCGTCAAGCCGTGGGAGATACACGCATTTCGCGAAATAGAGATGTGCGAGCGTTGTAACGGCGGGATGTAAGAATCGCGAAAATTCGCGTCGGGATTGATCCCTTTAATTCTCTCGACCTCCGACGTCGAATCGCTTTTTTCGCATGAACGTGCTCCAAGTCGCTCGCAAGCAGTTTTCTTTCTTAAAAGTACGAAATTATTCAACAGCCGTCGTGTATATATACGGCTTTCTCTCTGAAATGCCGCGTTCGTTGATCCGCGCAAAAATACACCGTGGAAGAACAAACTCGAAAAGCATCACACACGAAACATACGCGAAACATGCGGCTCGCGATCGGCCTCGGCTCTGCTGTCGCAATCAGTGTGCGCGAGCGGAATAAAAGGGTTGAAGCCGTTGTGTGAAACGTTCCTCTGACGAAAAAAAAATATATATGTGGGTGACCCGATTTCTCCCCGTTATCAATCAACGGTATTCGGCACAGGAACCAAGTAAAGCAGGTAGAAAGTTTCCCCGATACCGAATCGCGCGTGCGCCGCATATTTCGCGGCTTGGGAGAAATATTTCCCGAAAGCGCGGGACGATGAATTTTTTTCTTTTTTTTCCTTTTTTTCGAAAAAACTGAAAGTGCATTTTTCGCTCATCCGTCTGTCTCTCGAAAAGTTACACTCGCGGATCCATTACAATCGCGGATCACTTCGCATATACGTGTCTCTCTCTTTCACAAAATATCGTTAGGTTGTATGTAGGACGTGAGAGGTATGTCGCGAATAAAAATAAAAAAATAGTAATTTACACGAGAACGCGTAAAAAGGCAATTCGTCCGGTTGCTTCTCGTAAAAATACGCGAATGTAAAGTTGATTGTGTACGTAAAAATGTACACGTGTATGTGTGAGGGCTTCGATAAAATATTCCTACTAAAATAATACTTGCATCCACGATTTGTGTTCTATGCTTTACGCGATAGGAAATTGCATCATGTATGCCGGAACGCATCTTTCGTCGCTTATCAAATTGTAGCTTCCGCTGATAGGGCGCGGTTCATATTGTCTGCGGTTGGCAATTTGTCGATCTTTTACAATCCCTGACTAGGATGTAACGATCGATAACGGAAACATCGATGGAATTTCATCTCTCTTTTTTTTACTTATAGCATTACGATAAATCGCATCGCAATTTGCTCACAAAGAATAAAGTAATAATTTTTCAGGATTATTTTTAATAAAGATGATCTATCTAGGTGAATTATTGATATTAAATGAGACGATATATTAATAGGCAATTATGAAATATATGTCATTAGCTAATTAGAGTTGAACATTATAGTTATTACGAGGAATTATTTTTCAGATTAATATTGAATTTATAATACAAAAAAAGTAAAATTGAATTATAATCTTTAGAAATCTTTATAATAAATCTTAATAACATTTTTATTAAAACAATCATATATTAGATATTTTTACTTGTATTTTTTATTAAATAAACTTTTTATAAAAACAATTATATATACATATAATATAATACGTAACATGGTTTTTATAATGTAAATCTACTCATGCAGAGAATAACGCGTGAAGAACGTGTAATGTATAAAATAAAGTGATTTTTTTGCGCGGATTTAATAAAGAGCCGATAATATGCGTTTAATATTCATCATTGTCGAAAAAATATCCATCAACACTCGTGACACGTTTGAGGGAGGTGGATAGTAGAGAGAAAGAGAGGGAGAATTTGCGAATTGCGAGATTTCCGAGAGGGTAGCGCGACATCGATGGTTTTCTGATTGACGAGCAGGCGCTGCGCGCATATCAAAAACAGTATTAATTAGCCGTCGAATCGCCGTTGATTTTCGACAAAGCGCCGACGCGGTTATAACGCGGCTATTCGTCGAACGGCTGTGTTTATCAATTAGCCACGGTGCACATGGTTGCATCCGGGTTATGCGCATGCATG